GAGTCAGAGAAGTGAGGACTGTCCTCGATATAACATCTATCGGACCGAAATCAAAGGAGAATCTCGCGGCAACAATGAAACCCAGTGCGAGACCAGAAAATCCCTTTTTTAGCTCATCAGACTTGAAACTGCTTAACCCCAGGCATTTATTTGGCAAGTACTAACTACCCAAATGCAACTAAAATGACATCAATTGTTTATGTAATACAGTAGTAAATGGTTCTTATGTGGTTTCTTCATTGCCACAATTATTCAACCCCTTAAAGACTACCACTCTGAAGAACAGAGGTTCATACAGGTGCTTTCCATCAGGTATTGAAAACACCTGTGGATGTCACCGAGCAGCAATCAAGCATAATAAGCACCAATTAGGCAGCTTTAAAATGACTGTGATACTCAGCTCCTTCTAGACATTTACTGGTGTGGTTACAAACATGGTGAAGGCAAGAGAATGGTCCAGGAAGACAAGAGAAGAGGTGATTTCTCTTCACAGGAAGGGCAATGGCTATAAGAAGATTGCAAAGATGTTAAACATACCAAGAGACACCTTAGGAAGCATCATTCGCAAATTCAAGGCAAAGGGCACTGTTGAAACGCTACCTGGTCGTGGCAGAAAGAAGATGCTGACTTCGACTGCTGTGCGCTACCTGAAGCGTAGAGTGGAGAGAAGTCCCCGTGTGACTGCTGAGGAACTGAGAAAAGATTTGTCAGATGTGGGTACAGAAGTTTCAGCCCAGACAATAAGACGCACACTGCGTAATGAAGGCCTCCGTGCCAGAACTCCCAGGCGTACCCCCTTGCTGTCTCCAAAGAATAAGAAGAGTCGACTGCAGTATGCCAAAAGCCATGTGGACAAACCACAAAAGTTGTGGGATAGTGTTCTGTGGACTGATGAAACAAAATTAGAACTGTTTGGGCCCATGGATCAACGCTATGTTTGGAGGAGGAAGAACAAGGCCTATGATGAAAAGAACACCTTGCCTACTGTGAAGCATGGTGGAGGGTCAATCATGCTTTGGGGCTGTTTTGCTTCTGCAGGTACAGGGAAGCTTCAGCGTGTGCAAGGTACCATGAATTCTCTTCAGTACCAGGAGATATTGGATGGAAACGTGATGCAGTCCGTCACACACACTGAGGCTTGGGAGACGTTGGACCTTTCAACAGGACAATGATCCCAAGCATACCTCCAAGTCCACTAGAGCATGGTTGCAGAGGAAAGGCTGGAACATTTTGGAGTGGCCATCGCAGTCACCAGACTTAAATCCGATTGAGAACCTCTGGTGGGACTTAAAGAAAGCAGTTGCAGTGCGCAAGCCTAAGAATGTGACTGAACTGGAGGCCTTTGCCCATGAAGAATGGGCGAAGATACCCGTAGATCGCTGCAAGACACTTGTGTCAAGCTATGCTTCACGTTTAAAAGCTGTTATAACTGTAAAAGGATGCTGTACTAAGTACTAAGATTGAATGTCACTTGGGGGTTGAATAAAACTGATAATGCTGTGAGCACAGAAAAGACATTTGTGGTTATTTCATTATAACTGTTATGTTATATTTGTCTGACCTACAAGTGCCTCTTTAATGATAGCGGTATGCTGTCGATTTAACCAATTGTTAGGGATCCAGGTATGACCAGAGATGTGTGGACTGACACAGGAAAACAGCAGGCTTCAGAAATGATTAAATAATATTAATATTTATTATGAGCTGCACAAAATAAACAAACACAGTGCAAAACAAAACAAACATTAAACTAATAGGTACAGGTGCAGTCAGGGCTGGAGAGGTGGAGTGGTCAGGCAGGCCGGGTCAGAAACAATCAGGCAGAAAGGTACAATGGGAGCAGGCAGAAGAATGGTCAGGAATAGCTGGGGTCAGTGCTGGGGTCAGTGCAGGCAGAGTTCTATCAGAGTCAGAGTCAAGCAGGAGAGTCGAGCAGGCAGGAGACAGGATACAGGAAACAGGGCACATGGGAAACAAACACCAAGGCACTGACTGCAGGTCTGGCCATTCCTTAAATACACCTCCTGCAATCAGCCTCAGGTGATGGCTGACTGCAGGAGTGAGCTTCTGGTTGCTGAGAGCACCCGCTGGCCAGCCCTGGTACTGCAGCCCACAAGGCAGGTGAGTTCCACCACCATTGGCGAGTCCATTCCTGACAGTACCCCCCCTCAAGGAGCGGCCTCAGGACGCTCCAAACAGTCCTTAGTGGGCAAAATGTTCCACCGCCTGGGTCAGGGGCTGGCACATCAGGCTGGGCAGCGGACGGAGGCACGTCAGGCTGAGCAGCGGACGGAGGCACGTCAGGCTGGGCAGCGGACGGAGGCACGTCAGGCTGCGCAGTGGACGGAGGCACGTCAGGCTGGGCAGCGGACGGAGACACGTCAGGCTGGGCAGCCGGCAGAGGTCCTCAGGCGGAGCAGCAGGCACCGGGCCATCAGGCGGACCAGCAGGCACCGAGGCATCAAGCTCGACAGCGGGCACCGAGTCATCTGGCAGCAACAGCGGGCACCGAGTCACCAAGCTTGACAGCGGGCACCGAGTCAACTGGCACGACAACGGGCACCGAGTCACCAAGCTTGAGAGCGGGCACCGAGTCACCTGGGGCACGAGTCACCAAGCTTGAGAGCGGGCTCCGAGTCACCTGGCACGGCACGGGCACCGAGTCACCAGGCACGACAGCGGGCACCGAGCCATCTGGCATGACAGCAGGCACCGAGCCATCTGGCACGACAGTGGGCACCGGGCCATCAGGAGGAGCAGCAGGCACCGGGACATCAGGAGGAGCAGCAGACACCGGGCCATCAGATGGAGCAGCAGGCACCGGGCCATCAGGAGGAGCAGCAGGCACCGGGCCATCAGGCGGAGCAGCAGACACCGGGCCATCAGGAGGAGCAGCAGGCACCGGGCCATCAGGCGGAGCAGCAGGCACCGGGCCATCAGGCGAGGCAACAGGCACCGGGCCATCAGGAGGAGCAGCAGGCACCGGGCCATCAGGCAAGGCAACAGGCACCAGACCATCAGGTGGAGCAGCATATACCAGATCATCAAGCTGGATTGGGTCATCAGGCCGGATCGGGTCATCCGGCTGGATAGCGGGCACTAGATTGTCAGGCTGGGTAGGAACATCAGGCTGGGTAGGAACATCAGACTGGGTAGCGTACGCTGGGTCATCGGGCATCAGGGTATCAGGCTGAATTGCGGGCAGCGGGGCACCAGGCTGAACCACGGAAGGCGGGTTCTCAGACGGCAGGCTGACCGATTTGGATACTGGCAGGGTGGTACTGGTTGGAAAGAATTTTCACCTTTTCCTGGTTTTAGTTACTGGAGCACTGTAAATAAGCACAGGTTTGTAAACGGATAGAGCAGCTGTAGGCAGAGAAGAGCTGGGGGATGGAGCAAAGGAGGGAGCAGTTGCTACAGAGGACTTCTTTACAGGGTTAAAGGCAGGATAGGTGCAGCGAGTGGGAGCAGGGGACTGACATGTGGTAGTTAGCAGGGTATACTGGGCTGTCATTGTGGGTGCTGTTGGGAGTGCAGGAAGAGAGCTTTGAGCAGAGGAATGATGAGAAGCAGGACTGGTTTGTTGAAAGCTGACTGAGGCTGGGTGTAACAAGTCTGCCCAGGACTGTAGTATGGGTTCAACACAACTCCGCTTACACATAGCCTGTCTGACCAAAGACTGCACTGCGTCTATACACTCCACTAGCACATGTGATGGACAAGCTGCATAATGCTCATGGAAGCAATCTGGATCCTCCTCCAACAACCATACCAGCAATTCCACTTGATCTGCACTGAATGGGGGAAAAAAGTCATCCCTGCTTTCAAGGGTACTAGCTGAAGCCAACTCCACACAAGCCTGAATTAATGGTTGCACCTCAGAGAACTCTGTGCCCTGATCTACCAGGGAATTCACGACCCCTATGCATTCTAGCAGCTGATCCCTGGTATACTCCTGCAGAGTCTCATAGGCATATTCTTTGTCATCAAAGACTAGCAGACACAAGTATATAACCTCCTCCGGATGCATCCTTCGCAACAATAAGCCAAGATGGCTTCCCTGTGCAGCCACTTCTGGTCAGGAAGGGCCTTGGTGTAACGTCGGGGATCCAGGTAAGACCAGAGATGTGTGGACTGACACAGGAAAACAGCAGGCTTCAGAAATGATTAAATAATAATAATATTTATTATGAGCTGCACAAAATAAACAAACACAGTGCAAAACAAAACAAACATTAAACTAATAGGTACAGGTGCAGTCAGAGCTTGGGAGGTGGAGTGGTCAGGCAGGCCGGGTCAGGAACAATCAGGCAGAAAGGTACAACGGGAGCAGGCAGAAGAATGGTCAGGAATAGCCGGGGTCAGTGCAGGCGGAGTTCTATCAGAGTCAAGCAGGAGAGTCGAGCAGGCAGGAGACAGGAAACAGGGCACATGGGAAACTAACACCACGGCACTGACTGCAGGTCTGGCCCATTCCTTAAATACACCTCCTACAATCAGCCTCAGGTGATGGCTGACTACAGGAGTGAGCTTCTGGTTGCTGAGAGCACCCACTGGCCAGCCCTGGTACTGCAGCCCACAAGGTAGGTGAGTCCCACCACCATTGGCGAGTCCATTCCTGACACCAATCATCCTAGTGTATTGCTGAGTTTCCTCTTTCCCTGTATAAAAAGGAGGTGGTGGCAGAGTGAAGGGTTAATTGCGTAATTAACCTGAACCAGTAACAATCGCATTCAGGCTGCTGGTACGTCGATCGTTGTCCAATTAACTGGAACATCGGTGTGCAGGGTGCAGCTGGGTGTGGCATTGTTATGCACGTGACAGCGCGGTTTTAGATTGGCTAGTCCTTCGGTCACGAGTTTGGTGAGAAGGGCTGGGGTCTGATGCCGCGTCCACACAGGTACCCCTTCCATCTGACCAGGTACTGGATTTGTCTTCCCCACCTTGTGCAGTCCAGCATTGCTTCAACCTCCTATTCCGTCTCCTCCCCAACTGTTATCGGCAGAGGAGGTGGTTTTACCCTCCCTAGAAAAGGATCAGCAACAGCTGGCTTGAGTAGGGAGATGTGGAAATCTGGGTGGATCTTGTATGATTCCAGAAGGCACAGCTCAAACACCACTGGATTGATTTCCCTTTTGACCCGGAAAAGGCCAATGTACCTTGGACCCAACTTATGTGATGGGCACAGGAGTTTTAGATTGGCAGTTGATAGCCAAACTTTGTCTCCAATCTTCAGAGGAGGGTTTCCTCTCCGTTTCCTGACGTAGTTTTTCTTATAATCAGCCTGGGATTTCAGTATAGACTCTCGGAGGACTTTACAGTTGTTCTGTAGCATGGAAAGTCTGTCCTGTACTGCGGGTACCGAAGCTTCAGGAATAGTGTCAGGTATGAAGGGTGGAATCCATAATTGGCCCAAAATGGCAACTGGTTTGTAGCAGAATGGATTGAATTGTTGTAGGCAAATTCTGTCCATGGGAGTAGGGATGCCCAATCTTCCTGAGAAAAAGCAGAGAAGCACCGTAAATATTGTTCCAAAGTCTGGTTTGTTCGCTCCGTTTGCTCGTTACTCTGGGGATGGTAGACGGACGATAAGCAGAGTTCCACCTTCAGGGCCTTGCAGAGGGCTCTCCAGAACCTGGACGTAAACTACACCCCTCGGTCTGAGACGATATTACTGGGCAGACCATGTAACCTGACAATCTCTTTGATGAAGGTTAGTGCAGTCTCTGGTGTGGATCATCTTGGATAGCGGATCCACTACTAACAGAATGATGATAAACCCCTCCGAGGGCAGCAAATCCACAATGAAGTCCATTGCGACCATCTCCCAGGGACGATCAGGAATGGGCAGGGGCCTCAGCAACCCCCAAGCCTTGGCTTTGTCTCCCTTGTGCCGCAGACACACTGTGCAAGACTTCACATAAGCTCTACAGTCATGATTCAAGTTGGGCCATAGAAGGATCACTGGATTAGTTCCATTGTCTTAAGGGCTCCAAATTGTCCAGCCAGTTGATGGTCATGGAAAGCCCTGAAAACTTGAGACCTTGCTTCTTGGGGTACAAAGATTTTATCCTTGTGCCACAGAAGACCATCCTGCCTTCTAAGTGAATTTTGTTCAGGTTCAGGACATAGTGCAGAGGCTTGCTTGATCGAAGACTTTAGGCTGGGTTGGATCAGCAAAAAATTTTGGGCAGACAAAATGGTGTTGGGGGGAGAAGGCTCCTCTGGGAACATGCGGGAAAGGGCATCTGCTTTCCCGTTCTTGGATCCTGGGCGATAGGTTATGTTGAAGTTAAACCTGGAGAAATATAAAGCCCATCTAGCCTGTCGAGGTATTAGGCGCTTGGCGGACCTTAGATACTCTAGATTTTATGATCTGTGAAAATCATAATTGGGTGGCTGGCTCCTTCCAAGAGATATCTCCATTCTTCGTATGCTATCATAATCGCTAAAAGTTCCCTATCACCCACATTGTAGTTTCTCTCGGCTTGGCTCAGTTTTCTAGAACAAAAGGCTATTGGGTGAAGCAGAGCCTTTGGGCCCTGGCGCTGGGAGATTACGGCTCCTGTAGCAACCTCAGATGCGTCCACCTCCAGGATGAAGGGGAGTGTTGGCTCTGGATGCTGTAACAGGAGCAGAGGTGAATTGATCTTTTATTTGCTCAAACGCTTTTTGAGCTTCCTAGCTCCAGCAAAATCGTGTATGCTGGCAGGTGAGTTGAATAATAGGGCAAGGATTGTGGAAAAGCCCTTAATAAATTTCCGATAAAAGTT